TGGGGTATTGCAAAGTGCACACTACTGGACAGGTGTTAAGGGTGTGGTCCAACTTCAGTCACAAGGTAATTATGTCCCTATATTTCTACAGTCTCCAAAAAAGTTTGGTGATGACATCGCCAAGGCAACCGGTGACTGGAAAGGTCTGAGGATTACAGTGAAATTGACCATTCAGAACAGACAGGCCCAGGTATTGATTTCTGGCGCTTGGTTTGTGGGAGTGTAGAGGTAGCCACCCTCTGGGATTCCTGGATAGGTTTCTTTGCTGCCATTGGTGAGCTGTGAGCAGTGTTATCTTTGTGGGAAGGCTTTGTCAAGAGCATAAACCTAGCTAGGGAAGACATGGGTACAAATATTAACTCTTAGGGCCAGTCCGTGGCTCACTTGGGAGAGTGTGGTGTTGATAACACCAAGGCCGTGGGTTCTGATCCCTACATAGGGAGGGCTGGTAAGCTCACTGGGTGAGTGTGATGCTGACTAGACCAAATCAAGGGTTAAGATCCCCTTACCAGTCATCATTTAAAAAATAAAAAAATGAAAAAACAAAACAAAACAAAACAAATATTAACTCATCACTTATGTAACATTTGGTAAACTACTTAACATGACGTATCCTAGGAACATGTGTTCAGATTGTGAAAATTACTTGAGCACATACAGTAAGCCCAGTGTCTGGCTGTCTGGTCTCTGAGAGCCAGTGTGCATGGCATTAGTGGTCCTCCTGCAGTGATAGTATTGTTGTTGACATCAAGAATTTCTTCTGCAGATTGAGGTTTCTGGGCCTCGGCCTCCCCACGTGTAGACAGGGAGGGAGGACCCAACGACCTGCGGTGGCTTTCAGGCCGCACGCCTTAGGGTAAGGCTTGTCTCCGGGCGTTTCTGCTACCCCGACTGGGTTTGCCCGCGGCCGCCTCCCCGCCGCCTGCGCTGGGCTCGGGGCTACCAACGCCCGAGGGAGGAACGGGTGGCCTTCCTCGCTCGCCGCTGGGACTCTTGGTGCCGGTTGGAGAAGAGGCAAAGGGTTTTGTGACCAGCCCCGGAAAGGTAGGGGAGAGGGCTGTGGCTCGGGGGCGCCCTCTGCAGAGGCACTAACCCTTCCTTTCTCCCAGTGTACCTGAGGTGCACCGGTGGCGAAGTAGGGGCCACGTCTGCCCTGTCCCCCAAGATCGGCCCCCTGGGTCTGGTAAGTTACCCCGGCCAAGGGGCGTTTCTTTATTCAGATGAGAGCACAGTTAAGCCCTAGTTTGCGCAAACATAATTGTGCCAGCGTCTCATCGTTGGCTTGCGTTGTCACTCCCGACTTCACCTGAGCCATTGAACTAGCACTAGGTACCGCAGGAAGGTCATAGTTGAAAAATCGATCCGATACCTTACAGTCGCTCACTTAACACGTGCCTCAACTGCTGCTTTTGGTGTTCTTAAGGGCTGGGCCCGAGGAGGCGAAGTGTGAGGGGTTTGAAGTCAGGAATGGCTTGGTGACATTGGGCATCCTACTTAACCTGTTCCTGGTCAGGGAAGTTGTTATAGCATTGTCGGGAGGATTAAATGGGGTGCGGGCGAATATCTTTGTGAATAACAGTAGCTTGTGTTTCCAGTGCTGTAAATGTAACGTAGTGGTTAATATGACCGGCTTTACTTAGTCCTTACTGATCANGGTCCTCAGGACAGGTAGCACAGTAACACAGAGCACGGAGTTGGTCCGATGGATGGTGAGCTCCATGAGGGCAGGGGCCATGTCTACCTGGTCCGTCAATCAGTGCCCTGAGCCCCACACAGGAGGTGCTCAGCACCTTGTTCTCTGTGGGCTAAACAATAAGCAGCAGGACGGGGTAGAAAGAGCAGAAAGACAAGACAGGTGACCTGGGTCCGAGCCCACATTTGCCACTGACCCACTGTGAGATCTTGGCATTACACTTTCCCCATTCCGGGACCCCACCTCTCCTGCACGTTAGAGAAGTTTCCTCAGGTACTTTCTGAGGATGGTCTTGGAGGACTCTAACAGACTCAGTGGGGAATCACTTCTAGTCCCTAAAACACAGTCAGTGCCACCAGCAGATCCAAACTAGAGCNGAACAGGTAGTGACAAGTTAGCTCAGTCCAGGAGGGGAGGTGCACTTGAGGGGGGCCTCATTGTCCGGTCGGAGCCAGAGACGATTTCCTCTGGGGGTGTGGGAGGCAGATGCGAGGGAGCGTGGCTTGCCTGGGGGCAGTGTGGAGCCCTACTTCATGGGGCAGAGGAGGAGATGGGATGGAGTCTGAGGAAACCCACTTTTCCTCACCAGACACATCTGGTACTCGAGGCGTTTCCGAGACTCCTCGCTGGGTTTTCGCTTTCGGAAGAAGAGCGGCATCCTTCCCTTTTCCCAGAGTGATCTTCAGAACGCTGCGGCACAGGAGAGAAGTTAGTGCCTGGCTATTTGCTCACAGCCCTCAACAAGGTCCTCAGGACAGGTAGCACAGTAACACAGAGCACGGAGTTGGTCCGATGGATGGTGAGCT